CTCTCTCTCTCTCTCTCTCTCTCTCTCTCTCTCTCTCTCTCTCTCTCTCTCTCTCTCTCTCTCTCTCTCTGTGCGTGTGTGTGTCAACTGTATCCTTCACAAACGAGGGTCGTTTTGCCCTCATTTCTGGTTTCACGATCATTTCTGTATTATACCGCGTGTGTTGGAGAGGTGGGAAAAAAAAAAAGTTAACGAAATCGCTGATAACTACATTTTCCCTAACATTTGCGTCTACCTCGGACTCTATGTATACATACATCCTGATGAGTCGGTGAAACTCCGACGAAACAGTTTGTCACAGCCCCTCGTTTCTTGTCCTCTTCTCCCTCTCTGCCTACGGCTTACCGACCAGCTCTGTTTGACTATATACATCGTCAGACAGAACTGCCTACGGTAAACCGTGGGCAGAGAGGGAGAAGAGGACAAACGAGGGGCTGTGACAACGCTGAAAAAGATTTTTTTTTTTAATCAAATGAAAACGCTGATAAGTACAGTTCGCCTGTCCATTTGCAAACTATCTGCAACATTCTATTTGTATCGCGACGTTTTCTACGTAAAAAAATTAAAAAAAAACGTTTTAACGAAATCGCTGATAATTACAGTTCGCCTGTCCATTTGCGACTATCTCCAACATGATATCTATATCACCACGTTTTTTACGCCGTCCCCTTACAGATCAAGATCCGATGTCCTAGTCACAAGCTGTTTCAACTCTGAAGGGTCAATTCTACTTCGGATGTCACGATCAAAGCCTTACCGTATCAGAAACGGCACACCTCATCGTCTTCTTCAATGGCAAGCGAGGAGAACTACCACTGACGAACATGGGCACCTTACAAAAACGAAGTAAAACAGGATGACGAACATGGGCACCTCAGAAAGACAAAGCAAAACAGGAAATCAGGGCAAGCAGATTGGCCGCAATGTCGCCTTTCGAACATGGACAAAAGGACAACATTCGTCACTCTCAATCACTCAGCATTCCTAAGTCTCCTCGCCAACCAAACTACATATCCTTCGCCTTAGCACCCGAATTTCTCTCTCTCTCTCTCTCTCTCTCTCTCTCTCTCTCTCTCTCTCTCTCTCTCTCTCTCTCTCTCTCTCTATCTATCTATCTATCTATCTATCTATCTATCTATCTATCTCTATCTCTCTCT